TATTTCCTCGATTTTCATTAAAGATGTGTTTCTCATTCAATTAATTCACTTTGCTGCAAGGCAAAAACAAAAAATCAAAACATCTTCACTAAAACTTGTAAAATGCAGAAAAACATAAAGCACCAAATAGAGTTAAAACAGTTAAGGTGGAAAAAAAAAAAGCAGTTTTTACAGTTAAAATTAGCGATTCTACGCAAAAACAAGCAATTCGGCTATGGACCTTACTCGGCAAAAAGAAAAAAAGTTACAGAAACTGGCTTAATTTATTTTTCTACTACTGAGTTTCAAATGTAAACAAATTGCGACTACTTTAGGTTTAGTAGTACTTAAACAATTTTTGAATTTTTGATAAATTTCAAAATATTGCATGGCATAAAAGCCTTAACCGGAATATAAGAACAACATAATTTAATCATTTTTAAAGCAAAAACTGCACAATTTACCAGCATATTGGAATAAATAAAACTGAGCTTTCTGAGCCGGGTAACAGAGTGGGTATATATATATACATTGTATCAAATGTATATATATATATATATATACATTTGATGCGACCGATTGAAATCAAAATGGGAGGTACACAACTGAATGTTATAGCAGTCCCGCATATAAAATTTCAATGTTCTGTGGCTGTGTGGTTTTGATTTATGCAAGATACATACATACGTACATGCGTACGTACAGACGTCACGAAAACATCTCTTTTGCACACATTTTAAATCCATTTTATAATCCGTTTGAGGAAATACGAATCTTTATTCTGTCCGTTCATACAGATGTCACGCAAAAAATTCGTTGAAATGGATTTCAGAGCGGCAAAATGGATATTTTAGTTGAAAAATTATACCCGAAATTTTTCGTTATTACAATACTTCCTTTATCTTGTACAAGGAAGTAAAACTATGAAGTTCATAATTGTTTACTTACGTAAAAGGATACCAGGTAAAACGTTTTAAAAACCAAGCCCATTAAATTATCTTCTTGCGAATACTTTGTAAGTTTAATCCCAAGTTTTTACCAGTTAATGTTTAGTTTAAGCCACTTTCCTGTAGCTTCTTAATGTCAGCTTACAATTTCCGACTAAACTCATGAAGGAAGAACAAGTATTTAAAGTTGAAGTTCTGGTAACTTCGTTAGAGAGCCAGAAATTCTGAGCAGTGCGCATTCGCCTTTTGGCTGTACTCTTATCTTAAGCTATTATTACGCTCGACCGTACTTTAGACCCTTAATAGCTTTGCCGTTAGTTAGCGTCCAGGGACCAACTCTAGTAGATTGTTGATAGCTTTCGCTATATCTTTTTAGTTAAGTTCAGTTTTATTTTTTACTATTCCTGAGTTCAAGCCCAAGTGGAGACTTTGTTGTAAACCCCAAGAAGGAGACGACTGTTCAATTTATTTTGAATAATAAAGGGTATTTAACTCTTCTTGATTTCCGCTCTCTGTCTGCTGAACTAAGAGATTATTCGCGTACCAGTTGTTAAGATTCCTCATATTTAGCTGTAACTCAAACGTTGAACCTTACAACTTGTATATATATGTGTGTGTGTGTGTGTGTGTGTGATGATAAAATTTAGTTTGGCAGTCGGGAACTTTTGAATAATCAGAAAAATCACTTGATATTCCAAATATACCTTTATTACTTGTGGCACTTCACAATGGTGGAGGGGTGGCAATCTGCACCCCACAATTTTGATGATGGCGTATTATATTTTAAACAAAAGCAGCAAAGCAAGAGACGTCCTTCAGCCAGCAAGCAAAGCCGAAAAAAACACAAAGTTATTGCTATTGGTTTTATTTCGTTTTCGTTACTCTGATGTGTCTAAAACTTAGGCATCAGTTTTCGAGATCAGAATGCGGAATACGTTTCAAAATGACGCAGTTTGAGAAAATTATTACTAGAGAAAGTACCTCAATCAAAAATGAGCATTAAGGAGGCTTTTAAATAATTGATTTGGCATTTTTTTTATCTATCCCCCTTCAAGAAAAAGCTGGGGTCGACCAAAGCCTTTGAGAAAGCATTAAAACAGCAGCGAACAAAATACCAGTCGAAAGAGTAATAATCAAATCCCTGAAGAAGAGGAAACTGTTGAATCAACCCCAAAGTTCTAGTAAGTTACAAAACCGTGGGTTGTCATTAAATATAAATTTTAAAGAAGTTCCCCTAGTGATAATTAATTAGGTCTAAGTAAATATGTTCTTAAGGCTCGTTTTGTTAACGAATATTGGTTACTTTTAGTTCGGCCGGAGTTAATCTCTCCAAGCAAACTTTATTGTCCAAACAGTATAACACATAAAATTTAACACCCTAAAACTTTTTTTTTTATTTGAAGCATAAACATTTTAATCGTTTAAAGTTTTGTAAAAAGCCATAAAAAGATATAAATTTGTAAAAGATATAATTAAGAATTACTATGCCCATGGTCAACATCCTGATTGCCGTTCCATGTCAGCATTCTGTAACACACCACGCGCATAGGGAAAAATTTAATTTCCGGATTGGGTATGCCTTCGATGAATAATTCTCCTTACGCTAGAAGCCTTGCTTAGCTCGAGAGTACACCTCCATGCCATTTTTTACTTTTGATAGCAGTATCGAAAGATTATTAACTCTATGACGTGCGCGATAATTGGGTGCCATGAATTACACTTTCTTCGGCATTGTCGTGTGGTAAATTAAATTAAAAACTGTAGAAGTTTTTCCTAAAAGAGTTCTTCTATGGCTATCAGTAAGAAGTTTATTATAGGTGGGCAAAAATAAGAATTTTCTTAATTTAAAACCGTTCTTAAGTTGTGATTATTAACTCATAGTCAATGTTCATTATACCCCATTTCTGAAGATGTACTCTCTGAAATATGACAGTCAGTTTCCAGATAGCAAAGGTTTGTGAGTTGTCAATACACCATAATTTGTTGACTCAGGATAGAATTTATTTTGAAGTTAAGATACTAGAGATTTTAGAGAAATAAAAGGATGTAGATATGAAAAGGAATTATGAAATGCTGAGTTCCCCTTTTTTGTACCTTGTTTGTGTGAAATAGTGTTTAGCGAAAAGAAGTTTCTTTCTCTATAACCGTAAAGGCACCTACCAATACTGAGCACTTTTTTTTTTATTTAAGCAGAATATAGAAATGGCAACGACATGACACTAACATGGAATAACTTATGCAGTTGAAGGAAACTTTTCTGCATCTGAAAGAAACAAACGCCAAAATGCATAATAATACTTACGAGCACACTTCCTTTACAGTTTGGTCGAAACATTCGGATAATCCAATTGTTTGCTTTATGTACTGAATTGACTTCAACTTGATTAATCTAGAGCGTAAGTTGCGTCTGGTATTAACAGCATCTTTAAAGGATTTTTATAATTTTATTATTCCATAAAACAGGAAGACATATGCCAGTAAACATTTTCGTTTGTCATTATTGTTGAAAGAAAACAATAATTTTAACATTTCCATATCACTCATGCGCGTCTTTCGTCAAAAGCAAAACCGTAAAAATCCCTCCTAAACGTCAATACTTCAAAAGAAAATGAATGCTTATATACCGGCGGTATAAAATCCGTTATGTCAAGAGAAAAAGAATGCTTATATGCCGCCGGTTCATATCACATAAACCCAAGTGATCTCAGCTCACGCAAACTACGCTACAAAAATATAATTCTCTCAGTAATTATCTACATTAATTTCAAGTTAAATTTTGATTGATGCATTTTAAACGCATGCAAGTATTTTAGTTTCGTACGAATCTTACTCGAAATTATGTAAAACCGCAGTGCTTTATTTCGCTATGCAGCGGATTGAAATTGGAATTAACCCTTGACTTTGCCTCTTCTATATTTTCGCCTCAGTTGTACCATTATTGGCGACTTTACCGCTTGCGCCGCAAAACGGAAAAGTACGGTTGTTTTATATTAACGAATTAGGTACTTATCCTAGTAAGTTTTATTTTCTGTTGGGAGCATTTTCTTAAAATTGTGCCACATTGGACAAAAAATATTATGCTAAGACAAAGTATTTGGTTATTTCGTTGCATTTCTCGATATATAAATGTGAGTAGCAGGGGCGCGATAACTCAACACAACTAACGGCATTGCAGTGAGACGAAAGATGGACAATGGAAGTGAAAGAGAACAGTCATGCTTTCGACTAAGACATATTAATAGATGGCGAACCTGTTAACTCCTCAATTATAACTCTTTTTTTCATTTGTAAATACTCATCACTCTATCTCCATACATGGGCGCTTCGACCGGTTCTTCTTCAGTCAAGGTAAGCTGGTCTTTAAAAATCAAATAAGAAATATTTTGAATTCAATTTTGATGAAGTGAATTAAAGAATCTTTGAATTCAATTTGAATGAACTGAAACTATATTTTTACCAACGTATTGTGTACAACCAGAACTTTTGCTTTAGAAATCGAAGAACTCAATTTTCATTTATTGTATTAACTTGTTCTCTCACTTGTGTTCTACGAAATAGTTCAGTTGTGACATGTCACCTTTAAATGAGGTACCACATATTGCTAATCCTTAAAATCAGCTCCCCACGAAGCAATTAAGCTACTACATAAATTGTGTTTGGTCAAGAAGGCGACCGTGCAATCGCAACGACTTCGTGAATTCACAAGACTAGATAACTCTTTTCACACGCCGAAGTTAAGAAACGTTATTAAATACTTTCTCTCTGGCTGATCTAATTTCGATTCTTAATGTTCTGAATTTAGAATGTGCCATTTCCGCTGATGAATGTTATACTACAATTGTGAATGCTTTAACTAATTTCGATTTGCTATTAGAAACTGCTATTTCCGATTCTGATTCTGAACGGTCTGGAGGAATAACATTTCTTTTTCCTCAAGATGTTCCAGGATGATCAATTGACACTCCAAGCAAATGACGTTTCCTTTTTTTTTTTTTTTTTTCTCTCAGGACGTTCCAAGATGGGCTCCCATCCAAACGGACTTTTTTATCTTTTTTTTTTAATTACTCTTTTCAGATTTTGTTGTAACTCCATCGTCGCCAGGAGGCCCTGTCGTGTCAGGATACCCGAGTGTGAGTAGCAGGAGCGCGACAACTCAACACAACTAACGGCATTGCAGTGAGACGAAAGATGGACGATGGAAGCGAAAGAGAGCAGTCATGCTTTCTACTAAGACGTATTAATAGATGGCGAACCTGTTAACTTCTCAATTATAACTCTTTTTTTCATTTGTAAACACTCATCACTGTATCTCCATCAATAACTAAATAAATACTTAGTCACCTAAATGTGTGTCGTCAGCGTAGAAATCCCCTAGACGCCGAGTTTACTTAAATACACTTTAGAATTATTATATTCATATCTAATGCAACGTACAGTATAATTTACTCTATTATTTCGATTAGCACTGCACATTGTGTTTAGAAACTAGTAACACGCATTAAGAGTAAACCAGTTACGATTAAAATATCTTTCTTCATCAGTTTTAGGATGCATTTTTGTTGAAGATGTACGTTGATATTTAATTCGCTATTGATATCTCTTCATGAAGAGCACAAACTATTAATATCTATTCCCACCACTGACTAATGAATATGTCTAAATCAAATTACTGGTAATTTTCTACTGTCAGTTCCTGTATCAGATTTATAAGAAAGGCCTGCAATATCTAATCAACTTCCAATTACCGGAGAAGAGTTAACTGGATTTCAGACTAACTGTCCCCGTCTAAAAGCATATGCTTATCTATAGCCGAACGAATTAGTATTAAACATCATTAAAGTAAAATAAAGTACGTGGAAAATACAAAATGGAAAGAAAAGTAAGTGTAATAACAACATTGAACATATAATTAGTAAACGTTTTCGTCCATCCCCAACAGTACGTAATTTAGTTATTCCGTTATCCGGGATTCCTTTTTTATGCAAATTGAGACTCACTGACATTGTTCAAAGTTGTAAATATAATTATTTAATGTCATTTATAACTTCATTTTTTCATTCCTAATAATGTTCATATTTCTGCTATTTTTCTGATTAATCTGCATTCTTTTTTCAATACTGATTTATTTTAGGCAACCGAGTTAAACTTTTGTTTGGATTAAACTGCTTTAAAATATTGTAAAAATTGTTAACTGTATTTTTATGTTAATTATTGCATAGTTCTGAGTAATTTAAAAAGAAAATGCATCTACTGATGATAAGAAAAACATAAAGCTCACGAATCAAAATAAAAAGAAGTCTACTTGTGTTTTCCGGAATGGCAACATCAGAGAATACTATTCAAAAAGACTTCAGTTCCAAATGCAACTAACAGAATGCTCAAGATAGAGTAGACTGAATTTTTCTGCTTTTTAAAAGTTAAAATGGCTAGTATTGTCAAACTGAATTTTGTTTATTTTTAAACAGATAGTTTTTATTTCAAGAACCATTATTAAGTGAAATTTACGTAATATCGGGCTTGCGTAATGAAATCCGGAATTGAAGAAATTTTTTTTTGTTGTTGTTTACTAATATAGTGCGGTTACTCCTCTAATTTGTGTTTACTAATTGCCTTCGGATTAACCTCGATTTTAGCCGTACTCATCATTTCTGATATTACACCAATAATCAAGAGTACATTTATTAATGCAGTATCTAGATTCAAGATTTTAAGCTATTCTAAAGCCACGTAATATTTGCGACTCGTAAATAAATCGTCGTTGTTGTAAAATCCCGTGATAAATACAATATTTCGTTTCAGACTTTTAAACACTAATACTCTTTTATTTATTTATATGATCGAAAATAATTTTTGCATTAAAAAGGCTTGTATTTAAATCTATTGCATCATATTAGATTATACTGCAACAGCACTGATCAAACATTCATTGTCCTTGGGAAGGGGGCAGTGTTACGAATTTGGTATTTAAAAAGCTAATTTTAGTTCAATTATAAATTAAATGGTTTTATTTCTCGCGCAGTGCAGCGCGTGACGAATATTAAAAGAAAGCTAAGCCGGAAAATTGAAAATACAAGATCGCGTGCATTAAAATAAATAAATATCTCTTTTTGATTTCGAGAAAGTACTGGAAAATTCTAGCGCGTGATTTTAAAATCTTATAAAAGGAGGAAACATCTCAGTTTGTAGTAGTTGCTTAGTTTGTTGTTGTTTAGAAACTACTTACTTGTTGATTGTAGCGAATTCGCGGATTAGCGTTCTTAGCTGTTTTGAATTACGTTCTATTGGACATTTGAGTAGTTTAAAGAAAACTACTGTGAGATTGTAATACTGCATGATAATTTGAGAAAATTTAAGCATTTTTTTTGTTGTGATAATAATAAATTTTTGTTCATTTTTCATCGGACTTGTGCATTCATTTCATAACGAACCCGTACGCACGCAACAATTTTTGGTGTCAGGAGTGGGGTTTGAATGCCAATAACAAGAGCGATGGAAGAGCAATTGAGACAGCTCATTAGTGCTTTTGCTGCATTCCAAGAAAAGATGGAAGCTGGCCAAGCATCATTTAAAGAAGAGATGAAAGACTCTGTTAAAGCAGAGATTAGATCCGTTAAAGCAGAAATGAAATTGGGCCAGGAATCCGTTAAGGAAGAAATGATAGCCGTTCAAGCTGGTCAAGAAGAAATGAAAAGAGAAATTACTTGCATAATAGAAAATAAATTTGAAGCTATGGAAGGCAGAATTGACGCAGTTGAAAATAAAGTTGGACATATTGAAGAAAGAGTTTTCTTCGGTGAAAGAAGAAATAGTAGAAAGACTTTCTTCTGTAAAAGAACATACAGAAGGAGAGTTTCTGCTGTGGAGGAACGAATTGAAGGAAGAGTTTGTGCCGTCCAACACCAAATCGAACAACAAATTGATGAGAGAGTTTCTTCAGTTTCCAAAGAAATGGATACTTTAAAGAAATTCGTAGCGTCGGCAGGGAGCAGGAGTGATGATTTTAAATTCTTACCAATGCCTGCTCGTCCACCTCTGAAGCTATCCACATATGATGGGAAGACATCCTGGCAAGTGTACAAGACCCAGTTTTCTATCGTTGCGGATGCGAATGGATGGGATTCCCAAGCTAAGGCCTGTCATCTCGCCGCTTCTCTAAGAGCCGACGCAGCGGATATCCTTCAGACTCTTCCCGAAAACAAAAGACTAGACTTTGAAGCTCTATCTGGCGCATTGGAGCTGCGCTTTGGAGAGAAGTGTTTAAAAGACTGCAGCAGGCTTCAACTAAAATCCCGTCAGCAGAAGCCCACCGAAACACTTCAGGAGCTCGCCACGGATGTTGAAAGGCTGTCCCACCTCGCCTTTACGGAGTGCCCGAGAGAAACGAGAGAAATCCTGTCGCTGCAATATTTCATCGATGGCATTCGGGACCCTGAAATACAGAAAGCAATGCCAATGGCAGATGTAAAGGATGTAAAAAGCGCTCTGTTGTACGCCGTGAAATTGGAGGCAGCCCAGCAAGCAACTCTTAGGGATCGCTACCCAGTCAGAGGTGTGCGAATCCACGACCCAGGGGACCAATTGATGGCTCGTTTAGATGATTTATCCAGACAAAGTCGATGCTTTGATACGGAGTAGCAGTGAGAACAAAATGGCTGTAAGATGTTGGAGATGTGGTTCTGAAGGTCACCTACGACGGCATTGCAGAACACCCCAGGGCACGGATAATGAAACGGATGAGTTGACAAGACCAGTGAATGCTTTAAGACGGAATAGTGGTGAAAAAAAAACCGACCCTAAAGTGCTGGAATTGCGGTGTTGAAGGCCACCTACGAAGGAACTGCAGAAACTCCCCAGAGCACGGAAAATAAGGCATACGATTTAAACAGACAATTAAATGCCACGGAAGGAAAAGGACTGACAAGAAACCAAAGTGCTGGAACTGTGGAGCTGAAAGCCACGTACGAAAGAATTGCAGAACACCCCAGGGTACGAAAATTGAGACAATTTCCGAGCAACGACGCAGGAAACAAATTAATGACCATATCAAGGAACGGAGGTTGCCAGATAATGAAAAACCCTGTTTTAAAGCGCTTAAGATCTCTATAGTGAGTGGCAACAATAACGGACTGTCCATCAATGGGAATATCGATGGAGTTCCTTGCAATATGATCATTGACACAGGAGCTAATGTTACCATCATTAGTGTTACGAATTTGGTATTTAAAAAGCAAATGTTAGTTCAATTATAAATTAAATGGTTTTATTTCTCGCGCAGTGCAGCGCGTGACGAATATTAAAAGAAAGCTAAGCCGGAAAATTGAAAATACAAGAGCGCGTGCATTAAATAAATAAATAACTCTTTTTCATTTCGAGAAAAGTACTGGAAAATTCTAGCGCGTGATTTTAAAATGTTATAAAAGGAGGAAAACATCTCAGTTCGTAGTAGTTGCTTAGTTTTGTTGTTGTTTAGAAAACTACTGTTGTTGATTGTAGCGAATTCGCGGATTAGCGTTCTTTAGCTGTTTTGAATTACGTTCTATTGGACATTTGAGTAGTTAAAAGAAAACTACTGTGAGATATTGTAATACTGCGTGATAATTTGAGAAAATTTAAGCATTTTTGTTGTGATAATAAATTTTTGTTCATTTTTCATCGGACTTGTGCATTCATTTAGTAACGAATCCGTACGCACGCAACAATTTTTGGTGTCAGAAGTGGGATTTGAATGCCAATAACAAGAGCGATGGAAGAGCAGTTAAGGCAATTGATAACAGCCTTTGCCTCGTTTAAAGAAGAAATGAAAGAAGAGATGAAATCTAGCCAAGGAAAGATGGAAGGGGCCATCAACTCTGTTAAGGACGAAATGAAAGCCGTTCAAGCTAGTCAAGAAAAGATTGAAGCAGGTCAAGAAGAAATGAAAAGAGAGATTACCTGCATAATAGAAAATAAATTTGAAGCTATGGAAGGCAGAATTGACACAGTTGAAAATAAAGTTGGACTAATTGAAGAAAGAGTTCTTCGGTGAAAGAAGAAATAGAAGAAAGAGTTCTTCTGTAAAAGAACATATAGAAGGGAGAGTTTCTGCTGTGGAGGAACGAATTGAAGGAAGAGTTTGTGCCGTCCAACACCAAATCGAACAACAAATTGATGAGAGAGTTTCTGAAGTTGCCAAAGAAATGGAAACGTTAAAGAAATTCGTAGCGACGGCAGGGAGCAAGAATGATGATTTTAAATTCTTACCGATGCCTGCTCGTCCACCTCTGAAGCTATCCACATATGATGGGAAGACATCCTGGCAAGTGTACAAGACCCAGTTTTCTATCGTTGCGGATGCGAATGGATGGGA